GTGCCCGTGCGCTTTTTTTTTTCTTCAAAGTTTGTGCTTCGGTTTGGTGATTAGTTTCGTGAACATGCGGCTGCCTGAAAATACGTTTATCTTGTAATTTAGTTCCGGTGAAGTATTATTATTTTTAGATAGATGAGGTGTGTAATTATTGTTGGACTAACGTAAGACTTTGGCACATATGAATTAATTGTTTAGGACTCTGTTCAGTTTTTCTCTCATGTACTGCGGGGGCGTCAGGTAAAGCTCAACTTGTTTGTTGTGTGGTCACTTCGATTTCCATCTATGAAATATCTATGAAATATGCTGACAGCTTTGATGCTTCAAAAATTGAATTTTAGATGCGGTAGTTAGCCCCTCTTTGACACATAGGGGCTGTTTGGTTCGTTTCCTAGATATAGGGAAATGCATTTCCATGTACAAAAACACAAGTTTTGAGTTTTCTAAACTTTTCCAAGAAATAGATTGTTTCGCTTTGGTTCGCACAAAAAAATGGCGGGAGACCAATGTATTTATTTTTCTTGTGTTTGGTTCGCATGGAAAATAAGAGAAAACTTTTGTTTATATGGTAAAAAGCCGACGTGGCTGCAGTTTTCGTCGATTTCACGAGGTTGAGGAAGGAATTGGGGGAGAGAAAAAAATCTGATGTGGCGGCGATTTTCACTGAGTTTCCCTTCTTTAACCCTAGCGAACCAAAGATGAGAAAAAAAAAACCCAACGGAAAGCATATATCCTACGTGGCCACGAAAAATCTGATGTGAAGACGGTGTAAAACTTTTTCACCGAGTTAAAAAACGAACCAAACAGCCCCTTAATCTCGTAAATAACTTAAACTTCGTAAAATCGAATATTACATTGTTACTCGTTTGATTTTCACAGAGCACTCTTACGAAAGCGTCTCGCTTGTTGGGTTATTTGCACTTAAATATATTAAAATTTACCTCATTTTTAGCTTTGATATTATAAGGTTTATTTGGCCAAAATATACCTTACAGTTCAACAAAATTTAACTTTTCATATATCTAAAGTTTCTTTTTCCGTAAAATATGCCGAATTAGTTCCCCAAAATTGAACTGTGACATGCCAAACTAATTTTTTTAATTAAACTTTTGTTAAATTTCGGGAGGATCAAAGTTAAAGTTTTGTAAGAGGCTGGAGTATCAATGTTACTTTTGTTAAACCTTAGAGTATTCTTTTGGGCAAAATAAATTTTTTTGTGGTGACGTTATAAATGAGGTCAGCGTTTGGTTTGGGCAAAAAATAAACTTGGGATATCCAAAGGGCTGTGCAAACGGTCGGTCGGTTCGGTTTTTATCAAATTTTGATAAACCAAACCGAACCACTCATTATTCAAAACCGAACCGAAGCGTTGCAAGTTGGTTCAGTGCGATTCGGTTCGGTTTGTTCGGTTCTAATTTGTGAGAATGTGTATTTATTTATGATCTAATTTGTAGTCCCCCTCAAAATCTAATTATAATCATAAAATCTAATTAAACCAATTATTTCTCACTAATCTACAATTTAGTAGCATGCACCAAGAGCTAAAAAGTTTAGTTCTTTCCCCCTAAAACTGAAAGCATAGATTCAAAATTAGGGTTTTCAGTTTATACCTCCACTACGGGTGCGGGTGTCCCCAAAGAAGGAGATGGATCCTGAGAAGATGGTTCGACCTCGGCGATGAAGACGATGATGAGTGGCTGCTTGGCGGCGAGTGAAGGAAATTCGAGTCGGGGGCTAAAAGAAATTCGAGTCAGCGACGAGGCGGCGAGTTAGAGGTGACGACAGCGAGTCGGAGTCGACCAAAAAGCTACGGTTGCGGCGCTACGCCAACGCCGGTGCGCGCAATGCGGTTGCGACTTGCACTGCCGCCTGCCTCCTTCGCCGCTGGCGCGCTGGTGCGATTGCCGAGTGTAGAATTGGCAAGAGATCAGGTTCTAGGCCTCAGCATTCAGGGTTGTCAGGTGCCGGTCGACCGGCCCGGCGACGCGGTTCGTGCACCAGAGTTTTGGGCATTAGGTATTCGTGGCGGTCGATGACCGCGGTCGACCGAATGTACGGTC